TTATCAAGTAAAAACTATTGATTTTTCCTTTTATAGTTTCTGCTTTTGGTGTCAAATTCAAGAACTCTGCCTAGTCCAAGGTCATGAAGGTTTTCTATATTTTGTTCTACAAGTTAATTTTTTTTTTCATTTAGGGCTCTGATCTTGTGTCCCCTTAAAAATTCATTAATTGTGGTAAAACACAGATATATAACAAAACATTGTCATTTTAATTAGAGTGCAAAATTCATTGTCGTTATTTACTTTCCTCATATTGTACAATCACCACTACCATCTATGAAAGGTTGGCATCTCTCTAAACAGAAACTTAGTATTCCATAAGCAGTAACTTCCTCTTCCTGCTTCCTCTAGTCCCATATACCAGTCAACTTTTATCTCCCCATGACCTTTAAACACGTTGCAAATCCTGTACTTCCTTGCTTCCAATTTCCTTCTTGAATATTAACAGTTGCCAAATCCAATTATCTTCCTCAAGTTTCATCCACTTTTGTCAAAATTCTGAGTGATTAAATGAGTAATTATAAAACCAGATCCCCAAACCAAAAGGCCAGTGGTGTCAGTTCTGACCGTTGACAATCTTCCACTGGGTTTCCCAGGCTGAACACTTTACAGAATAACACTGCTCATCTTTCTCCCAAGGAGCAGCTGATGGATTCCAACTTGATAGACTTTCACGTAGCAGCTCAAAACCTAGTGCACTGCACTACACTACCAGGGTTCCTTAATTACAAATAAAGTTCATGAATAAAGTGATTTGGTCTGTTAAACTTTGAAGGTGTACATGTTTACTATACTTTACTATACTATACTATAGGTGTACATGTATACTATTCAAAGTATGCTGTCATAAAGGGTCCTTGCTACATACTTGCTAACTGGTAAGTTTTTGGTTGGTTTGTTTTTTTTTTTTAAAAAGACACTTTAGGTTAGTTTTTGAGTTCTGGTGTTCAGACACAATCTTTAGTAACAGTGCAATATAGTTAAGAGGTCCAAAGAGAATTGCCCTTCCAGGCGCAAACATAAACAAACTTGTATTTCTCAGTGAACCAGGGATTATTTTTTTTTAAGGATCCAACAGATTGAGGTCTGTTTTGTTGTGTTGTTTGGTGTGTTTGGGGGTTGGTGGTTTGGGGTTTTTTTTACATTTTTGGGGTAGCTTCAAAAATACTGAGTTTCATAGCTTGAGCACACATTTCATGAATTGAGTCAAAACTGCTCTGAAGGGGACGAGGAGGAGGGTGAGAGAAGACGAGATGTACATAAGTTAGATAGAGACTTAGGTAAAGACTAAAAGTCATGTGTTCTCTAATTTATAGAAGGGACTTGAGTTAGCAGAAAATAAAACTGAAAACTGGGAAAGAAAGTGAGAGGAAGAATGAATAATGATGAAGCAAGGTTGTTAAGTGTAGAAAAGATCTTGGGCCCTAAAGACAAACTGATTTCACCCCAGAGTGCCAAATGAAAAAAGGTGGGTGAAATGGGCAAGAAAAGAATGGACACATTTTACTTTTACCTGAAGCGCTTGCTGCAGAAGGTCAAGGACTGCAGCCTCCTATATGGATTGAATTTCAACATCAAGAAAACAAAGATTCTCACCACTGGGCCAAGTGGCAGCATCAGTATGGATGGTGAAGAGATTGAGACAGTTAACAGTTTTAGTTTACTTGGTTCCACAGTCAACACTCTTGGTAACAGCAGCCAGGAAATCAGGAGATGAATTGGATTGGGAAAGTCAGCTGTGAGGGACCTCTCGAGAGTATTGAAGAGCAACGACGTCAGGCTGGAGACTAAGGTGTGCCTGATGCAGGCTATAGTCTTCACAATTACATGCTATGCATCTGAGAGTTGGACAGTGAATAGGGATGATAGAAAGAGAATTGATGCCTTTGAGCTGTGGTGCTGGAGACGAGTGTTGAATATACCATGGACTGCTAGGAGAACAAACAGGTTTGTCCTGGAGAAGGTGAAGCCGGACTGCTCCTTGGAGTCAAGGATTCTGAAGCTTCATCTGACATACTTTGGGCATGTTGCAAGGAGAGACATCCTTGGAGAGGGACATCATATTTGGCAGAGTGGAGGGGCAGCGAAGGAGAAGAAGACCTTCAATGAGATGGATCAATTCTGTGACTGAAGTGGTAGGAATAAGCGCTTTTGTGATGGTTAGGTTGATACAGGATAGAACGGCATTTAGAGTTCTTGTACATAGGGTCGCTATGAGTCGCAAGCAACTCAATGGCACATAACAACAACAGCAACCCTAAAACTATGGTACAAAGGGTCACTAGCAGGAGACTCAACAGCACATAATAATGACAACAACTCTAGTGGTTGTCTAAATATAGGAAAATGAGTATGTTAATGTTAATTTCACATGGGGGACAATGCCATTGGAAGATAGCTAAAATTGTTGAGCTTTATGAATAAGTGTTAGGAAAAAAAAGCTACAGAGGGAAGAAAAAAACAAACCTCAATTAAAAAAAGTGTTTTCAATTCACAAAAGCTCCTCCTTTACCTATTGCTTCAGCTAACCTACGTAACACCTTAAAAGCAAAAAGGTGGCCTCTTTTGCTTATCTAAAGCTCTTAATCTAGTGGACACAAATAATGTGCTCAATAAACATTTTTAAAAAGCACACACACGCACGCACACACGTGCCCACGATCTGGGAAGCATGCTGCAGAGAACATTATTAAAAGAGACCTTATTTTGAAACATATGGAAGTTTGGTATATGATCAATAATGAGGAAAGCTAGGTAATTCAATAGACAGCAGTTCTGGGGCAACAGGTGGGCATTTTGAAAAAGAAAAAAATTGGATTAACATCTCACATTTTATTCCAAAACAAATGCCTATATAAAAAAAGTTCATGGAGTAATCTATTTTATAATATTGGGAGTAATGAATGCCTTTCTACATATGACAAAAAAGGCAGAGGCACAGAGAAAAAGACTAATTGCTTTGACCACATTAAGAAATTCTTCTGCTAAGAAAAAGTAGCATAAACTAAGTTAACAGATAAAGGAGTAGGTGAAAAAAATCCAACTAATATCATTGTCCAAGGACTAATTTCCTTGATAAAGAACTTCTATAAATCAATTAAAGACTAGCAACCCAACTGAAAAAATGAGCAAGCACATTAATAGACCTTCCATCAAAAAAAGGCTCTTAAATATATGAAAGATAGTCTCACTCCTACTAGAAGAAATACAAATCAAAACTTTTTTCATTTTTCCATTTTAAGACTGGCAAATATCAGCAACTTACACAGAAGCTTCTCTTGATGAACACATAGGGAAAAACAAGAACAGTTGACAGTTGAAGCTGGTACAACTTGCATGGTACCATACATTGGTAATATTCACTCCAAACTCATCTCCTACCATTTCTCTCTTGTTCAATCTGTATTAGCCACACTGGCCTCCCTGTTCTTCCTCAAACATGCCAACCACACTGGAGCCCAAGAGCCTATCATTTGCTGATCAATTCTTCTGGCTGTTATTCAAATTTACAACCTTAGTGAGATCTCATGTTGTTATTTAGGTGCAGTAGAGTAACAATTTTATGAACAGACCTGCTTTCTGTCCTATCCTATGCCATCTTCATCATCTCTGATACAACTGAGCCCACGGCAATTATCCGGTCAAAAAATGTTTCTTACCTATTTCATTATTTTAACTTGGTTTTTATTCAGAGCACTTATTATCTTACACTAAGACTTATCTAAAAAAAAAAAAGAATTATCTATGCATTTATGTATTGTCTCTTCTCTCCCAACTAGTCTGTGAATTAAGGAAAGAACTTTGGGGGGGGTGTATTGCTAATTTCTAGATCCTAAAATATTATAGCTTAATATACATTATAAAACATTTTCTATAGAGGAAGATTCAACAATATCTATCAAAATTTAAAATGCATACACTCTGACTTAGCAATTTCTCTCAAGATATTTACCTTTTAGATATTCTTGTCCATACTCAAAATAAAAAATGAAGAATGAAGCTTTTAATGGTAAAGAACATAGACTAGAGATAGACTGAATAATTATTTTAATAGTTTTATTTACTAAATATTACTTTCTTTATAAAGACCATAAGGATTCTATCAATTATATAATATCGTAGTAAGAAGGAAGATGTCCAGGTACACATAATCTCGTTAGGCAAAGGTTTCACAAGGATCTCTTTGTAGATCCACACTCATGAATAGGTCTAAATTGATTAGTTAAAATTTAATTTAAATGAATGGACTTCCCATTTAACAAACAAGTATTGCGTTTACGGGAAGAGGCTCATGGTTTCAGAATATCTTTAGTATATACTCTCTGACACCGGATGGGGTTGACCTCCTGCTGCCCAGCAAATGACATCTATTTAAAGATGCGGGGCATTTTACAAGGGCTCTCTACTCCAAAATGAATACATATAAAACAAGCTAAATACTTAGAAAAACATAATGTATTCAGGATCATTCCCTTAAATCACACAGGTTCTCCAATCTTATCAAACTATAATTTGTTTCCTGTTTTACAAATCAAACTTTCAGCTTCTCCTTATCATTGTCCTTCCCCGACTTTTTCCCACTTTCTTTTACCTGGAATCCTAGAGTCAAATATTACCATTTCAAGAACCACACAAATCCTGTCTCTCCCACTAAAGGACAAAGTCTTCCTTTACTATCCAACAGTGATCTAGGCTTTGGCCCTCTTTGGCCTTTATCAAGCACCACACTCTAATCTTTTTCCTTCATGATATTGTTAAGCTTTTTACTGATCTGTAATTAGACTGCAGGCTCTTAAAGTTATATCCCTATACTCTGCTTTCTTTATCTTCCCCCATGCACATACACAGTAGATGCTCTGAAGGTCCTATTTTTTTTAAAAGTAACACAGTCAATCCAACTATGACCTCACATATCCATTTAAAGGTCTTTATAGATTTTTGTTATAACCAACCTATATTCTGTGTATAAACATGAAATTTCTGCAAACCAATAAATAACGTCAGTGTTTAGTATCAGAACTCATCAGCTGACTCTGTGTCCCAACTGCAGGACTGCAGTTCGTCCTGTGGGAACTCAACTTCAATGTCATAAACAAAATTTGGATCATCCTTCTTCTTCTGATTTTTCTCAAAAAGTTCATCCATGATGCTCTTCCGTTTAGCAAGTTCCTTGTCATCTAGTTTGTTCATGTCTTCCTCAGGATCAATAGTTCTTTCTCGCTGAATTTGTTCCATCGTTTCTGCCAAAGTCTGTCCCTTCAAGTAACCTCTTAAAAAACAAAATAATTTCTCTAGCTGCCTCAGAGATACTTTTTCCAAATAATTCTTATGTCGTGGATTATTTTTTAGTTGCTCTGCAGCTCTGGTGCAGTCTAGAAGGGAGAAAAAAGACAATAAACACAACTGTATGTATACTCTATACATCACAAACTGCTAACTCACCACAAACTACTGTAAAACAGAACAAAATCTCAAAACTCTGAAGGTACTGTCTGCCAGGTATAGCTGAGCTGCTAAAAGGTTTTATTGGAATGAATTCTATTGGAACAGTTTTCCTTTATGCTAAACTATGAGCTGGATAGGGCAAAGGAGGGATATGAGTTTGGTTTTCTTAATTTATAATTACTCTGTAGAGATATTAATTAAATACTTTCCATTGGAGAAAATGTCTGAGAATATAAACTGATATTACAAAACTGGTATGACAGAAGTATTGGTATTATCACAATATATGAAGAATATACACAAAAATATTTGAAGGGAGGATGTTAATATTGTTAAATAATGTTATCTTGTTTGACCTAAAGATCATGTTGTTAAGTGCTGTTGAGTATGATGCCTCATGACTGACCCTATGAACAACTGTTGTGAGCCCTTCCCTATCCTGCTGAATCCTTAATGATCATGAGAGAATGGAATTAATCACCCCTTTCATAGACCAAGAAGCCCTAATGGTGTGGTAGTAGTGTGTTGTTTTGTGGGTTTTTTTT